CCAACCTATTTTCCTGCTCTACATACTTAGCTAGCAATTTGCCAGTTAGCTTCCCAGTCTGAATTTCTGTGCAACGTCTTTATTCAGTCAACTCTTCTATCCTGTACTCCAATTCTATTCCAGAACTCCGATATTCTACATCCATTTTGTGAATGTTTTGCTTGCTTGTTGATCTTCAGCATGCTCTGAAGGCAGTATCTGGTTTCTCTTACTTTAAACCGCCCAACTTGCACCTGATTGGCACTTTAGCCTTTTGATTCCCTCCCAGTGAGGCGGTGCTTCACAAAGCAAATTGATTGTCAATCTGCTCTCTGCCTGGTGGTTGTTTCAGAAGATGAGGAAACATGGTGACTGAGGTTTACAGCCAACTAGCCAAATTATGCAGCTTTTTTTTTAGTAGATAGCGGTCCTAAAACTACATACCTTTAAAAATATGAACAAATATGTTCAATTCCTTAATTATTTGATTCATGGGTGATACAAGTTTGGTCATTTGGAATGCAACTCAAGGACTGTGGCTTCTTAATGTAAGTGTTTCTGCTACTGCACAAGAAACAAGGTTAAAAGATCACAGTTCTATTTACTGAGAGCAAGACTATGTCTAGTTATCAGGACAGACTGAGACCTAAAAAAAACTGTTGGATCCATATGACACAATTATGATCTTAATATGACAGAGGAGGGAACCGGTTATCTGCTCCAACAATGTATTAGCCTTCAAGGAAATCATTTGGATACAAAGAGCAGAAATATCTCAACATCAGATTATTATTATTGTTTTTACTCTTATATCAGTGATTTAAAACATTTTTTAAATTTTTGATACCATGCGGTGCCATGCAGTACCATGTGGTCAACCGCAAAGTTGTGCGTGAATGTAAAAGTCAATTATTTTTGTCACCCAAAGAAAATTGTAATGTGTTTATTATGAGTAGGATTAACCGAGCTGAAGGGAAAACAAAGAAAAAAGGAGAAATAAATATTCAGCGATACAGAATTGACTCAGCAAATATGAACCTAGGAAATTATTGAAACCTTCAAGAATTTTATGTGGCGTAAGATATTTAAGAAAAATAATCCTGATTCCATACTCATGAATTTCTTTATCTGGTTGTTATCTCTAAAATACGTTTTTATGTTGAACCCCAGACATCTCACCTCTTTCCCACAGTTTTTTACACTTTGTTCCACTACTTATAGTCAATGTTTTAAAAAAAATAAAAAACCCAGTACAGAGTTTTGAAGCGATGGAGGAAATTTACGTCAATATGGAACCTGTTGAACAAAGTGCATCTCATCCCACAGGTAAGAACAAAGTTACAGAGAAATATAGTATGTATTTAATTTAATTACATTTTGCTAAGGCTCAGGTTTCTGTTCAGGTTTCTGTTCAGGTAGCAGCAGCTCCAAAGAGAGGCTCTGCCTCGGTGTGGCCGTATCTTTGGGAATCCTGAACGTTTTCCTTTTGACCGAACTCATCGCCCTCAGTGTACACAGTGAGTCTTGTTATAGTCATCTTAAAGATGTAAAATGAGTACATTTTATGTTTCTGTTATAAAAAAAATGTCATTGATTCCTTTCTGAAATCGAACTGATGAATTAGCAAGGGTATAAAATCCTTCTGTTTTAGACTTTTTAGACTTTGTATACTGTAAATTATGTTGTACAAGATAGTGTGACTCATATCTTTTGCTTCGTAAATAAAAATTAAGATCGTAATTTTTGACAACAGCTTCTTAATATTGCAAGGGATGACCTTTGCCAGCTCAGACACCAGGCAATGGTATATGGGAAAATGCACAGTAAATTTTGTAAAGTGTAAATTTTGATGTTACAGAGAAAAACACCAATCTCTGCTTTCATCAACACATAAAACATTGCTCATCATTTCTCTTCAGTTGTACAAATTGTAACCTTTCTTAATTTAATTCAGTTGATTTTAAAATGCAAATTTTACGATAGGTAATCTAAAGACAGTTTACAAAAAAACCCAAAATAATTTTCCATTCTACTTATCAAACAGCGCAGCAATTTAAATGTATTATTTAAGTCAGTAAAAAAAAACAAACAAGCATAAAAGTTAAGTAATCGGAGTTTTAAAAAAAAATTGCAGATTGCATCATGTCATTGACTTGTCATTGACTTGACTTGTTTATATGCTTCTTCCTCTTCAAATTACTGTTATCCTATCATTGACCGATTTTATCCATATTTTCAGGGAAAGCCTGTGGAACCAACATGTACGATTGCTACCTTTCTTCTTTGTTGCTTTCATAGAGTAGGAACACCACAAAATGAATAACCTCACCGACTGAACTTTGAAATGAATAAAAAGTCATTCGGTTAATCATTCAGATACTCAGAATTATTTGAATTTCTTTCTTAGACAGGAACCCAGTTCCTCCATTATTATTATCATCATCATCATCATCGTCACAGTTCTGATTACAGACACTCTCAGTGAGTGCCGGTTGGAGACTGACTCTTTCCATCTTTAAGATGACTAGAACAAGCTCCTCACTGTTGAATCCATGGTGTCGGCATCACTTTATTACAAATGATAGTAAATAATTGGACATGTAGAAATATAATTTTACCAAGATAGAGCTTGAGCCGCTGTTACTGGACACAACTGGAGTTCCATAAAGTCAGGCAGTAAAAGTCACATTAAGACACAATCAGAACTTATCATGCTAAACAGATCCTTCGCACAAAAACCATCCTCCAACGTTTGTTTATCATGTCAGAGTTTTAACAAGAAAGAAAGAAAAAACACAGAGTCCAACCGGTAAAATTGTTCCTTTATAAATCACAACGGTTGAAAGTGTACATTTTATCTTTAGGCTTTTATGCAACAACGTGCTAATAAGCTACGTTATTTGTCGTTAGTTAATAGTATCATTCTGAACACGACATCTAAACGTCGATCAGTACTGGACCTGGTCTTCTTTTCTTCTGCAGCCCCTGGAATAATAGCAACAACTGATCTCTGCTGTTCCTTAGGACCAAAATCTCCCTGTAAGGAGAAAAAAAAAATCAAAGTTTTGTTTCTTTTACATTGTTGTTTTTAGCGCACACAAATGATAGAGTACTTAATAAATTTTAATAAAAGTCTTTATTTAGATATATTATATTTGTTTAGACCAGAAAGGAAAGTTATTACGTAGTTATACGCTACAATTCAAAAGGGAAAAGTTTTTTAAAGTTTTGACAAACCTTAAAGTCTTTTCAGCTCGTGGAGGATCCGTTTCAGTGAAGTTATCAGTGAAGTTATCAGTGAAGTTATCAGTGAAGTTATCAGTGAAGTTATCAGTGAAGTTATCAGTGAAGTTAGCGTTCACGGAGGGAAACTTGTTGCTGTTCTGCTCAGTCAGAATGTTGCTGATGTCAGAAAAATCTGCTGTCATGTCATGAGCTGGAAACAAAATAAATAAATAAAATCAACAAACGTGTTTGCAAAAACAAGTTGCATCGTATTTTCACTTAAAACTTACAAAATAATTTCATGATTTTGGCAAAAGTGCCAATCAGGTGTAAAATCTGCTGTAGAATTTAAACTGAGGTAACGCTGAACAGAAAATCGTTTGAAAAAAAAAGAAAGAGGAGACATTCTACCCTAAATGCTGCAAATGCAAGCATTGCTGAAAATAATTCAAACTCATGTAACATCGTGTAATGTTTCAGCTCTCTGCATCACTTTGAGTAACCAAGCTTTATTCTTTTTTATACCCTTGCTAATTCATCAGTTCGATTTCAGAAAGGAATCAATGACATTTTTTTTATAACAGAAACATAAAATGTACTCATTTTACATCTTTAAGATGACTATAACAAGACTCACTGTGTACACTGAGGGCGATGAGTTCGGTCAAAAGGAAAACGTTCAGGATTCCCAAAGATACGGCCACACCGAGGCAGAGCCTCTCTTTGGAGCTGCTGCTACCTGAACAGAAACCTGAACAGAAACCTGAGCCTTAGCAAAATGTAATTAAATTAAATACATACTATATTTCTCTGTGACTTTGTTCTTACCTGTGGGATGAGATGCACTTTGTTCAACAGGTTCCATATTGACGTAAATTTCCTCCATCGCTTCAAAACTCTGTACTGGGTTTTTTATTTTTTTTAAAACATTGACTATAAGTAGTGGAACAAAGTGTAAAAAACTGTGGGAAAGAGGTGAGATGTCTGGGGTTCAACATAAAAACGTATTTTAGAGATAACAACCAGATAAAGAAATTCATGAGTATGGAATCAGGATTATTTTTCTTAAATATCTTACGCCACATAAAATTCTTGAAGGTTTCAATAATTTCCTAGGTTCATATTTGCTGAGTCAATTCTGTATCGCTGAATATTTATTTCTCCTTTTTTCTTTGTTTTCCCTTCAGCTCGGTTAATCCTACTCATAATAAACACATTACAATTTTCTTTGGGTGACAAAAATAATTGACTTTTACATTCACGCACAACTTTGCGGTTGACCACATGGTACTGCATGGCACCGCATGGTATCAAAAATTTAAAAAATGTTTTAAATCACTGATATAAGAGTAAAAACAATAATAATAATCTGATGTTGAGATATTTCTGCTCTTTGTATCCAAATGATTTCCTTGAAGGCTAATACATTGTTGGAGCAGATAACCGGTTCCCTCCTCTGTCATATTAAGATCATAATTGTGTCATATGGATCCAACAGTTTTTTTACAGGTCTCAGTCTGTCCTGATAACTAGACATAGTCTTGCTCTCAGTAAATACCACTGTCATCTTTTAACCTTGTTTCTTGTCCAGTAGCAGAAACACTTACATTAAGAAGCCACAGTCCTTGAGTTGCATTCCAAATGACCAAACTTGTATCACCCATGAATCAAATAATTAAGGAATTGAACATATTTGTTCATATTTTTAAAGGTATGTAGTTTTAGGACCGCTATCTACTAAAAAAAAAAGCTGCATAATCTGGATAGTTGGCTGTAAACCTCAGTCACCATGTTTCCTCAACTTCTGAAACAACCACCAGGCAGAGAGCAAACAGATTGACAATCTGCTGAAGCAGCATCCTTGAAACCAGAAGATCCAGGAACAACCGTCAGCTGTGAGGATGTTTTTGAACCTAGAAGAGACGAAGAAGTCAGAACGCTGGTGACCAAAGGTGCCGCGGGCATTGGGAAAACAGTCTTGACACAGAAGTACACTTTGGACTGGGCTGAAGGTAAAGCCAACCACAACATACAGTTTATCTTCCCATTCACCTTCCGAGAGCTCAACTTGCTGAAATCTCAAAACATCACCTTAGTGGGACTCATTCATCACTTCTTTCCTGAAATCAGAAAAGCAGGAATCTGTAGCTTTGAAGAGTTCCAGATTATGTTTATCTTCGATGGTCTGGATGAACTTCAACCTCCTCTGGACTTCCACTACACTCCGGTTCTGACAGATGTTGTAGAACCCTCCTCAGTCCACACGATACTCGTAAACCTCATCAGAGGGAAGCTACTTCCCTCAGCTCGTCTCTGGATAACCACACGACCCGCGGCAGTCCATCAGATCCCTATTCAGTATGTTGACAGTGAGACAGAAATCAGAGGTTTCACAAACCAGCGGAAGGAAGAATACTTCAGAAAGAGACTCCAAGACAAGGAACTGGCCAGTAAAATCATCTCTCATATTGGGACTTCAAGAAGCCTCAATACAATGTGTCACATTCCTGTTTTCTGTTGGATCACTGCTACAGTTCTGGATCAGGTCCTGAAAGATAAAGAGAAAACAGAGCTGCCCAACACCCTGACTGAGTTGTATATCCATTTCTTGGTTGTGCAGGTCAAACAGGACAATGCCAAGTATCGCAAAAACGTTTTGACTGATGGCATCTGGAATTCAGAGACTGAGAAAATCTTTCTTTCAATGGGAAAACTAGCCTTTGAGCAGCTGGAAAAAAGAAACCTGCTCTTTTATGAAGAGGACCTAAAAGAGTATGGCATTGACATAAACACTGCCTCGACTTACCCAGGAGTCTTTATAGAGACTTTCAAGGAAGAAAGCATACTGAACCAGAAAAGGCTGTTTTGTTTTGTCCATCGGAGCATTCAAGAGTTTCTGGCTGCACTTTATGTCTTCTTGGTGTTCATGAAGGCTGGGGACAATCTGGTGAAAAGAAGTCGCAGTGCTTTGCAACCCGAATCTAAATTTAAACAGTTTTACCAGAGTGCAGTTGACAAGGCTTTGGAGAGTCCAGATGGATACTTGGACATGTTTACCCGCTTTCTCTTGGGGCTTTCACTGAAAACTAACCAAGACCTCCTGCAAGGCCTGTGGAAAAAGACCAAAAATGTTCCACAGGTTCAAAAAATGCTTATCCAACACATCAAGAAAAATATCAGGGATAGTCCTTCAGTTGAGAAAAGCATCCGGATGTTTCACTGGCTGAGTGAACTGAATGACCATTCCCTAGAGGAAGAGATTCAACAGTACCTGAGTGGAGAAGTCCTGGAAAAAGACCTCACCTCTTCTCAGTGGTCAGCACTGATTTTTGTCTTGTTGTCTTCACAAAAAGTGTTCGATGTTTTTGACTTTAAGAAGTTCTGCAAATCAAAGGAAGCCCTTCGGTGGCTAACACCAGTGATGAATGCATCAAAAAAGTCTCTGTATGTATCACACAAAGTTCAAGAAAGTTTTACTATTTATTTAAAGAAAAAGATAAAAAGTATTTATCTGGAGCTTATCTTTCAGGTTGTTTAGCTGTAACCTGTCGCAGAGAAGCTGTATATTCCTGGTGCCAATGCTAACCGCTGAGAACTCTTGCCTCAGAGAGTTGGACCTGATTGACAATGACCTGCATGATGAAGGAGTAGATTTGCTTTCTTATGGACTCAGGAGTCCAACGTGTAGACTGGAGGTTCTCAGGTGAGTATTTGGAAGATTGAGGAAATAAACAATAACATTATTGTTCCATTCTTTGTATTTTTAATAAGAAAATTTAATACCACTGAAACAACTGAGAACTGGCCATTTCCTAAGATGAAAAGAGGCCGGTTTGCCTATTATCCATCCGTCCATCCATCCATCTATCCTCCGTCTGTCCGTCCAACATCGTCTTCTGCTTATCCAAATTTGGGTCATGGCTGAAGCAGCCTAAGCAAGGGGCATAGACGTCCCTCTCCCAGCTCTTTTGGGGGAATCCAAATGTGAGGAAAACATAGTCTCTCCAGTGAGTCCTGGGTCTTCCACTGGGTCTTGTCTCCATGGGACATGCCCAGAACCCCTCACCAGGTAGGGATCCAAACCAGATGCACAAGCCATCTCAACTGGCTCCTCTCAATGTGGAGAAGCAGTGATTCTGGTCTGAGCCCCTCCCAGATGTCCAGCTAACCACTCTATCTCTCAAACAGAGCCCAAGCACCCACTGAGGAAGCTTAGAAGCTTCCCAAAGCTGATCGTGGATGATCAATAAACTGAGAGCGTCACCTTTTGGCTCAGCTGTCTCTATAACAAGAGACCGGCACAGAGTGTGCATTTCTGCAAATGTAGTACTAGTCGCCTGTGCACCTCCCATTCTATGTTTTCCATCATTTGTGAACAAGACCCATAGACACTTAAATTCCTCCATTGCAGGGGTGGGCACTCCAGGTCCTCGAGGGCCAGTCTCCTGCAACTTTTATCTCTACTTCAACACACCTGAGTCAAGCACTGATTTTTGTCTTGTTGTCTTCACAAAAAGTGTTCGATGTTTTTGACTTTAAGAAGTTCTGCAAATCAAAGGAAGCCCTTCGGTGGCTAACACCAGTGATGAATGCATCAAAAAAGTCTCTGTATGTATCACACAAAGTTCAAGAAAGTTTTACTATTTATTTAAAAGAAAAAGATAAAAAGTATTTATCTCTATATATATATATATTATATATATATATATATATATATATATTATATATATATATATATATATATATATATATATATATATATATATATATATATATATATATATATATATATATATATATATATAGTGGATAAAAATCAGAGGAAAGCCGTTGTGGTAGATGTAGCAATACCAAGTGATTGCAACATCAGGAAAAAGGAGCACGAGAAACTGGAGAAATACCAGGGCCTCAGGGAGGAACTGGAGAGGGCCTGGAAGGTGAAGACCACAGTGGTGCCTGTGGTCATCGGGGCCCTCGGGGCAGTAACCCCAAACTGGAGCAGTGGCTACAACAGATCCCAGGAACAACATCAGACATCTCAGTCCAGAAATGTGCAGTCTTGGCACAGCCAAGATACTGCAGGACCCTCAAGCTCCCAGGCCTCTGGTAGAGGACCGAGCTCAGAGGATAAGAACCACCCGCGGTGGGTGAGAAGGGATATATATATATATATATATATATATATTCATATCTATATCTCTTTTCTCTCTTTAGATTATATAATTTTAGCCACTTATTACCCAACATTTTATTTAAAAGTTATGAGTCATTAACTTATTCGAACATATAAAAATGAAACATGTTAAACCCACAGTCTCTTATGCTTTGCCATGTTAGAGTTTAATGTATAATGTAAGTTAATTTAAGTTTAAGTTAACTTAGTCTGAGAAAACATCAGAGATCAATGAATTACTTTAAGTTTGTTGATCCTAATGCTGAGGTGTGAAGTCAGCGAGCAGCCCTCTTCTCATTTTAAGCCTAAGTGAGATAAGAGGCTGGATAATGTCCAGGTCGGTACCAAAACTCTGATCGCTGACCCCCCAAACATACAGCCAAAGGATCACAGCACCAAAGTTGGTGTCATTTTCTTTTGTAATTGTTCTACCAAGTAATCAATACATTGAAAAGAAAGAAAAAAAATGTTGTCATCTGTTGCTTTCTCTGTATAATTTCCCCTTACTTTTGCCCAATTTTTCCCTAATGAGGACATGGCTGCTTCTCCTACTTCTACCCCATTTAGTCTGTATGAGTGAATTAATCCAGCCATGTCTTCTATCCACTTATCGGGGTCCTCTGCAACATGTGTTATTCCTTCCACATCCTTCCTGGCCTCTTCTAAAGTCCAGGGTCTGAAAACATAAATGTGTGGTGACTGGCCATCTCTAGGATTTGGGTTTGGGACCTGGATCATTGGATATTGTTCTGTACCGTCAAAACTGTTCAAAACTTTTGGCTGTTTGTACTGCCTGAGATTATATGAATGTCCCTGATTACTGGAACCTGCGCCTTCCTTCTCATATAGCAACGGTGGGTAGACAGGAAGGGGTGGATAAAGTGTATTTGGAGTGAGAACTGACAGTGGATCTGTGGTCAGCTCAGCTGGTGGTGATTTTGCAGGAGTGAGAGTTGGAGGAGCCAAGGGGAGCGCTGCCTGTGTGCGCGGAGGAGGGGCCTGCATTGCACCTAGTATGGGCTCGTTATCTTCCGGCTTTACAAACAAAGTAGTGGCTTCCTCACATTTACTCCCTTTGTCTTTGTTTTTTCTAATTTGTTCTCTCCTTTCTTTAGTTGCATCTAACCATTGTTTAGCACATTTCAGTTCTTCCTCCTTTCTTTCTCTCATCCTTCCTTGTTTTTCAGCTACGCTTTTTTTCTAATATTCCCACTAAAGTTTGCCATTGTTCAATTTTTAATTTCCCATCTATCTTATATTTCTTCTTCCATTTTGACATGTGTACTGTGCTACCAGGAAATCTGGACAGCATGTACTTTTCATCCCCTGTGGGATCCTCAACAAGTGAGGAATTACAAGAATTTTTATTTCCCATTATTTAAGTACTCTGCAATTTAGCTTTAGAAGTGACTTGATATTTTGTGCTCTCTCTCAAGTAAGTGCTGGAGGTCAGCGCTTAGTGTCCCCTGAAGAACAGGCTTCTAGACTGAGACTAGCCTCAGTCCGGTTCTTCACTTAGGATTCTAATTCCGAGGACAGAAAGTTTTACTCACAGAGAGAGATGAGCACCACTCGCTCTTGTATGCACACACACATACACACACACACACACACACAGCACGGCAGCAATGACACAGCAACAAAAATCGCAGCAACTAACAATTTCCTATCAGTGCGAGGATTCTTCCTTATGGGAAGTCCTCATTAAAAGAGGGGCTCTAAAAACACCTCTCTTGTAGATTTTAGTTGAGACGACAGGGATTCTACACCCTCTGGGACTTTAGTCAAGTTGTTCCGACAAGAACTCCCAACCTGTTTAGCTGATAAACATCAACCTGGCCTTTAACCCGTTTAGTCAAAATACTATTTGACAAGGACTTTAACCTTTTTAGCTGATAAACATCAACTGGGACTTTAACCCTTTAATTATTTAATTGTTTCACTCACGCTTTCCGTCGGCTCGTTCTATTCGGTCGGATCTCGGCAGTCCCGCCGCTGGCAGACAAAGTCGGACCCAAGGTGCTGGCCTGGCGAAGAATTCACTTCCCGGGTCTTTCTTTCCAAGTCCTAATGACTCTGGCCGTGCACGGTTTCAGCGCGTCGTTCTTCATCTGTCAGCGAACAAAATGCGATTTGAGAAAACTTATTATTCAGATAAAAAAACATTGGCACAAGGATGTGGTGTTATTTTTTTGGCAGAATCAAAATTGGATTGTTTTGCAAAACTGCAATGGAAACACTTTTTTCTCATCATACAAGTCACATGGCCAACAGAATGTTGCCACTGGCGTAACCCACGAAGAAGAAGACAACAGGAAGGCGCAGCAAGTTTTCTAACAAAATTATTCATGTGTGATTCTTATTTAATGGAAACGCCATCTTTGCAAAATTTAATTTTTTTGACATCGCTGGAAAATCAACAAAGTTTTGTACACATGTATACTGACAAAGACTTCTTATGAGTTCAGAATGTTCATGATTTTAATTTACTGCATTTGGTTTCTGCTGGTGCAGAAATATGATGCATGTTTCACATCAATGACGAAAAGCCAGATAAAATGTGACATGCTAGTTCTGACATCGGCTTTAGTTCCACGTCTGTTAGTGGCACAAATCGGATTTTTGAAAAGATCAAAACTGAGCCGTGAAAAAGCGGGACTCAGTTTACATTTACCTGCTGCGTGAACAAAGTCTAAATTTAATCTTGTCACTCTGCGTTTTCTGACCCAGCCGGGGAGCTGAGCACGATTTCCACTTCATGTCCTTTGGGCCCAGTGCCGGTTCCCACTGTGTTTATCATGCGATACATTCAGAACATGTGCAGCATGCCCAACATGGATGCATCATGAACATTATGCCAAAACGTCTCAGTGAACAAAGACATTTTTTAAAGACGGCACCACTGCGTCTTATCAGACGCAGTGGTGCCGGAACATCAGACAGACTCCTGTCTGCTGATCTGAAGCTTTTCACCTCAGAGAAGAACAATGACATCCAACGACAAACTTTCAGCTGCAACAACTCTGTAAAGTTGTCTCTCTTTAAATAAGTTTTGATATGGCTTGTTGGTAAATAACTGCTTTAAAATGATAATGTTGCTACTGGTTGTAATTAAATGAAAAGTCAGTAAATGGAAAATACTGGGAGGAGAAAATGAAAATGTCTCGACTTACAACCCGTATTGCGATTTACTAAACCTGAACCAGAGAGCAGGTGATGTTTTTGTCAATATTTAGCATTTTGTCCTGTAAACTGGCAGGAAAATATGTTTGCAGCCACTGAGGTGAGAGAAGCATAGAAACAATGACAAAAATCATGACTTGTCAAGGATTTGCAACATTTACCAAACATAAAACAAAACTATAAAAAATCCTCCAGCAATGCTAATTTTGAATAAATCAATTTATGGTACCGCTGTGTATGAGGTGAGATGTGATTATGAGATCTTTTCTCAAACTTATGAGATCAGGATCTTGTAATTATGACGTGTTATTTTATAAATATAAGATCTGATTAGAAAATTGTGGGTTTCTCACTGGAAACAAACCAGTTTAAATAAAGTTTTTATAAATAAAACTCAAACATTCAGTATAAATGTCGCTTGTTAGAAGAAAGAATGATGCAACCTGATGAGAGACATTTATCTAAATATTACGGAAATGTGTAATGAAATTAGAAACTTTTTGGATGCTTTTGGATTGGAGAGAAAAAAATGAACGTGACGTTTAAATGGAAATGTATTTCTGTGCAAAGGTGTGAGTTT